GTTGTTGTTATGTGCCATTGAGTCAAAACCGACTCATAGTGACCCCTCCTTGAGTTTCCGAGGCAGTATCACTATGGAAGTAGATTGCCCCATCTTCCTTCCGAGGAGTGGCTAGTGGGTTTGAACTGCCAGTCTTCTGGTTAGCAGTCAAGTGCCTTAGGCACTATTACTAGAGAACCAAAATATGTTTCTAACATGCTTTTTCTTTCCACCCACACAATTTTTAAGCTTGTGCCTTTCTTTTGTATGTGTGCATTTTCCTCTCAGACTGAAATTCTCTTCACCTTTGAATATTTTTAAAATGATGTTAAAAAGTATATAGCTTGCTTTCATACACATGGAGCCCTCTGATTCATATATTGCTTAAAGAACTGATCAGATTATGTAACACTAAACCTAACAAGTAAAAGTCTTAACAGTTTTACTCTGGAAAGAAGTCAATGATTACCATTTTAGAAAATCTGAGTTCTGATTTTCAACAAAATCAGTGTTTCTAAATCTCAACTCAGGGCTCAAACTCACCCTCTCCACGATCAGCAATGATATCCCAACCATACCTACCTTCACAAGACTTTAATGCAGGATTATATCTGTAGCCTTCTGGACAATCACATTCATAGTCACCAGGGTTGTTCTTACACACAGCTGTGCCACAAATATTTGGCTTTGTAGAGCATTCATTTATATCTATAATGGAAATAAAAATATTTTTAAAATATTTTTTTTTCCCCATTAACAAATTGATGCTGGTTAAAAAAAAATCTTGATTTTTATTTTCTGGATCCAATTTAACATATGTAATGACATAAGAGGGTGGTCTGACAATGAAAAAATATTAACTCTATCATATTTTAGTTCATAAATATGATATATTGATTCAAAGGCATAAGGATATTGATTGAGGCTTACCATGTTCCTTTGTATTTACATAAAAGAAAGTAAGGGCTTTTAATTATTTTCTTATCTACCATGTTAGAGTATGAAAAAACATGAGAAAATTGATATTATTACTATTTTTACTATGTGTTTCTAAATAAGTGTTTCTGGAATATGATCTAAGAATTAGATTTGTTCCATATTATCACAAATATATATATATATATATAAAATGAAGACAGCTCATCCATTTTACCTTACTTTGGAAATGGACAACTAACAGATCTATATATGATCATTACTGCCTAAAGTATTCAAGAGTGATTCAAATTTAAAATAGTACAAAGTTAGAGTTTCAGATACTTATAAAGCTGTAGTTAATCCAATAAAAATTTTATTGCTCAATTAATTATCTGGAAATATCAGATGTATTTATTACATAGTGGAGAAAGAAACAAGGCACTAGTTGCAACAAGTAATTAGATAAGCACCTGTGAGGAAAACAAATGAGAAATAGTTAAATGGAAATGGAATCATTACATCTTTTCTCATCTGTACTCTCTGGAGTACTCTCTAGAGAAAAGACAAGTTCACGTTCAAAATGAAAAATAGCTTTTCTATGGTAAATAGGTTGTTTGTTTAAATTTTTTTTCACAGATGAACAGACCAACAAAATTTCAGATATTATTGTATTTAAAATAGCATACACCAAATGACAAAATTTACCTAAATATTTTGTTTTCTTACATTTGATCTGAAGATTAAAAAAAAAAAAAAAAAGGTAAAGTTTCACTCGATGGTGGTTTCAAATTACTGGAACCAGTAAAAGAAAAAGAGTATCACACTTTACCACATTTTTTATATTCATTGTAGCCAGAAATTAGAAACAGCCCAGATATCCTTCAGTTGGTTAATGTTTAAACTAACTTTGGTATATCCATACCAGGGAATACTACACAGCAATAAATACAAATTACATATCAATACACACACCAACTTGACTGCATCTCTAGGAATTTATCTTAAGTGGACCAAAAAAAAAAAAAAAAAAAATCCCAAAAGATTACATACTGCATCATATCATTTATATAATGTTCTTAAAATGACAAAGTTATAGAACTAGAGAACAGATTAATGGCTGACAGGGTCAGGATGGAAGCTAGGTGAATGGAGACTGGAGTAGATACAAAAGGACAACAGGAGTGGCAATAGACTTGTTCTGCATCTTGCCTGTATCAATGTCAACATTATGGTTGTGATATTGTATATAATATAGTTTTGCAAGATGTTACCACTGGGCAAAACTGAGAAAAAAGTAAATGGGATCTCTCTACCATTTCTTACAATTTCACGTGAATCTGAATTAACTTAAAATTTTTACAATTTTATAAAAAGCTATAATATCCATACTTTAAAAATAAATTAAAAACATAGGAATAAACTTATTTGGTTTGGGACATA